TTGTCTTTGGTTGCTAAGCAGCCCTTCTAGTATATAACGGACCCCCTTAGGCACTCCCTAGTCCCCATCTCGACCTCTTGGTCATTGGGACTAGGTGAGTGACCATAGCGTTGTATCTCCCTCCGATTGCTAATGTATAACTTGGTCATTGGGACTAGTCTGTCGCTGGTTGCGTGAAGACTAGCTTTCGTCGGTCTTGTGCCTTCGTGCCGACCGCCGCTCTGCCCCGTCGAGTTTTCTGATACGTTTATCCCTCTTACCCTCTCTTCTCCCCTTTCGGCTCCTCGCCGCTCGCCTACGGGGTCGTCGCCGAACGTCGACCCGAGTCCACGCGCCTAGTCGCCGCGACAACGGTTGTGTATGTGCAATAGGCAACGGTAGCCTAGCGCTCCTACTACGCCGACGCTGTCCCAGGTGCACGGAGCGTGTCTTTGTTCCACCTGATCGTAAAAAAACCTGTAATGAGTGCCGAGAATAGAAGCAAGCTACTTTGTAATATGACAGACGATGTTCCAGGTGCAAACCGAGGATTTAAACCGGGATAAGCTGACACTGGAATGCTGTCATTCCGGCTCTGAGTTTCATGGTCGCTACCGAGAGAATACAAACCGTCAAGCGCGAGGGCAGAGGAATGCATATACAGACTATCAAGGTATTTGACTGTCTTCGATTGCCTCAGGTCCAGAGTCAAGGGAATACGCTGCGAGTTTCGGCCCTCAGCACGTGCATGAGCCCACTTGGACGAGTTGTCAAGGTTATGTGATCTGGAAAGAAGATGCATTGGAATCTACAGTCTAGGTCTACTGGTATTGGTACAGGTACAACATGCTACGGCATTACAAGACATGTCAACTATGCAAGAAACTAGTACAGCCCTCTATCTGATCCCTGAGCCCCTCAAGCGAACAAGCCAACGACGACGTCCTGCATCTTTCCGTCCCGAATCGCCTCGTGGATGAGCGAAATGTCCTGGCCAATGGTCTGGTCTTCCACCCCAGGGCCCTCCTTGAAGTCGTGCGCGTTCTCCGCGCCGTGCATGCGGATGCCGAGCGTCGTGCGGATGAACTCGTACACCCCGCGCGACTTGCCTAGGTACGCCGCAGCGGGCGCCCAACCCTTCACGCCGCTCAGGTACTCCTTCCACAGGCGCACGAGCGAGGCGGTCAGGCGCTCCGCGAGCTGCGCGCGGAAAGAGACAATCCCTCAAAGCGCGTGGGACCCGTCCTATTGCGCGAAGAAGTCGTCGAGGGGCGTCGTGGTCGACGCCGCGATGGCGCGCATGCGGGCGGCGGCGTCCATGGTGCTCGTCAACTCGAGCGAGTGGCGGCTCTGGCGGGAGATCACGCCGAAGATGGAGTCAAAGTCGACGTCCGACAGGTGCTGGCCGAAGGAGACCTGGAGCTGCTTGCGGAGGATGTTGTCGACCTCGAGCTGGAACTCGTGCTGCAGCGCGATGAGGTCGAGCACCTGGCAGAGGGCGTAGAGGTAGCTCGACACGAGGAGCGAGAGGACCTCGAGGGAGTTGAGCGTCGCCCGGGCAGAGATGAGCGCAAGAGAGCTGACTGCTGGGTTATGCATCTCCGCCGACTGGACGTGCGTCGAGACGGGGTTGGCGAGGTACCCAAGCTCGCCAACGTATGCCGCGGCGTGGATGTCGATGCCCTTAGCGAAGTAGTTGTGAGAGGGATCCGTCGCAGCGAGGTTCGGCAGCAGGCCACGGTTCATCGCCGGGTTGATGAGCTCGGTGCACTGCGCGAAGAGCAGCTTGCCGATGTGGTGCAGGGCGAGCCGCGTCTTCTCCATTGCATTGGTGACCGACATGGCCTGGAAGTTTCCACCATGGTGGACTTCCCCGGTCTCGCCGTCAATGAGCGGACTGTCGGTGGCTGAAACGGAGGTAAGTCCATCACAGCGCTGGGTCAATGAGACATGTCTACATACTGGAGTTGCACTCGATCGTGTCCGCAGCGAACGCAGACAGAATGTCCTCCACTTGGGGATCCAAATTGGATGCGAGCGCGAGGCACGTCGGAACGTTCTCCGGCTGCTCTATGAAAAGATAGTGCGGGATCGGCGAATCCGGCGACGGCGAGGAGGTTAGCAGGACGTTCGATGCTCGCCTGATCGGCAGTCTGAACGCAACATGGATCGAGGTGGGTTCGAAGAGCGAAGTGAGTCGACATATGAACGTGTGGAACATGCAATAGTACACACCTGCATGACGACCTTGTTCCGACGATGAAGGACAGGGCGCGAATGCATGTAGGAGGAAGGAGCACTCGAGGCTCGCGATCCCACTCAAGGACTTCTACAAGAACCCACCACTTCCAGCCAGGCTCCTCATGCGGATGCGCCGGAGGCGGCGACGATCACCTCCGACCGCTCGAGCTTTGTGCAGGGCCCAGAGGATGCTCAAAATGGTCCATCATCGCTGAGCGAGGACGCGCGTGTGGAGGGCGAGACGCAGATGTTACTGGAACGCGCATGGGGCGGAAGGGTGACTCGTATGGGTGCCGAGGGTGGTGGAGAGCCTCTGGAGGGCCCTGTGACTGGGGCGCTGGATGGTGCAAGAGGTCACCAGCTGGTCCGGGAGGTGGGGAAAGAGCTCGAGTGCTCCGGCATGGGCGGCCTATCTACGTCCATGGCGCCAGAGGAGCGTATAACGGCGCATGCCGCGGTTTGTCGAGGACAACGGAAGGTGGGAGACCACCGCGGAAGGGACCTGGAGAGTTCTTGCTCTGGAGTTGAGGAGGGACGGGCAGAGGGAGGTAAGTCGGTCCACTCCGAGCATCAGGAGTTAAGGGCTGCGTGCTGCCTTGCATCTTGAGCGGAGAACCTCTTAGGCCAGCGGGTTTGCACATGCTGTTAGGTGCGCGTCTTGGGGGCTGGGAGCAGCAGGGCGCGTTTGGCCAGTCGCCTGAGCGTTCTTGAGGAGAGCGAGACGCTAAGTGACAGCGGTGTTGGTGGAGTCGAGGTAGGGAGACAGATGTCGAGCGCGAGAAAAGATGAGGAAATCGAGACGAGAAACGGAGACAGGACAAGATGCCTATGGGGCAACCGCGACAGACAGCGAGCTCGCACGGGCTATGGATGAAGCAGCAAGAGATGCGAGCCAAGTGCGGAGGTTAGTAGACGCTTGACCAGCCTGCCAGCGCAGGCGCGTCAAGCGTCTAATCTTCGCACTCTGCCACGTGTCCCTCTGCGCAGGCCTTCCGTCTCCGTCTCTCGCTCTAGCTACCACCGCTTTCAAATCCCCTGGACCACTGGATACCGCAGGAATGAGGAAGCTGAGACCGCGGCGGGAGGAGAGGCAGGGACGAGACAACAACGGGGCAAGCACGACAGGTGAGTATCTCATCCGCATCCACCCGCTCCATTCCCCTCTAACTTCCACCTCCTCGTTCTGAATCATGATGTGCTGTGTCTGCACGACGCCTGGCTAGCCCTTGTGGACGGTTTGGATGCGGCGCAGCCTTCTCTCCCGCCGGCCTTCTTGCCAAGGTCCCATCCGCCACGGTGAACCTGCATGTCCTCTGAATTCGCGGCATGGAACCTCACTTCCAGTCTCATCCGGCCATCTACGAGTCTGTCACGAAGCTCGATAGATTTAAGGTGCTCTCGCTGCGCTACATCGGCAACGCCTGCCTCAAGGCCATCCCGGCTGGTCGCTCTCTCGTCTCTCTCTCTTCCGCCGCTTGTTTCGACACCCCAATAGCCTCTTTCAAGCATCCAGTCAATACTCACGTGTCCGCGCCTCTTCGCCTACCAACATGTTCACCTTCCGCCCCCAGCCGAACGAGTCGGAGGACAACGGTGGCCGGCCCTTCATTCGCACCTCGCCCTCCCTCTCCGAACTCTCTGTGCAAGCCATCCCTTGGCCTAGCAACCTTGTCGACCTGTCCCAGCTGCCCCAGGACACACTCGCGTCTCCCCCTCGCGGTGCCGCCAAGACCTTATTCATGGCCGACGCTGCCCACCCCGTTCCATTCCACAAGGCGTGGTCGTCCCCGGGCAAGGCGACCGATAGTCCTACAGGGCGTCCAATCACGCCTTTGTACATCTCCAGCCCATCCTCCACGTTCGAGACTCGCAAGAGTAGCCATGACGCAAATTGTCCGCGCCCGAGCTAGAGGCGTATCAGGAACCCTACCACGCTCAACGTAATGGTATGCGTGTTCTGCTCTATTGTATGCAGTCATGACATTCAAACCGGCCCTCTCATTGGGATGCTATCAGGTTGCTGGCGCGCAAGGTGTTGGCAAGACTTCGGTGGAGCGCTTTCTTTGTGGTCCCCCGAAGGGACGGAGACCATACAGTCTGCCTGCGTAGAGATCTGCGAGAGCAAGTACGACAGGCGCTGCTGTCCATCATCGACACGCCCGGTCTCGACTTCCGGGAGGGACACGAGCTCAAATTGGAACGCCAGGTTTCAACGATAGTGAAGTACCTGGACTTGCAGTTCGCAGACACGCTGACCAAGGTGCATGGCTATCTCGGCTCCTCAGTGCATCGCGTTGCCTCCCCTCCGTCGCGGTGCGACCGCGCCTTGATGTACCCTCCTGGGAACTGCCATTCCCTCCAGGAGTCAAAGGTCGTCCATCAGAGCAAAGGAGACCAGCACATTCATTTGTCAGTATCAGGTAACCCACTTCCGGCGAGTTTCTCCATGTCCCGCTCACACGTTGTCCAGGTGTATCTATATGATCAACCCTTCGTCCGTCCTGACCGAGGGTGCGCGTCGCGCCCAGTCCTCTTACCCCACCAAAGTGCACTCCGAGGTGACCGTCTCGTACAAGCCGCCCGACCTCTCGTTCATGTCGGACGACACCAACTCGGAGGACGAGGAGAACAAGAACGGACTGACGACGTCCACCGCCGACATCCGCGTCATGTGTCGCATTGCAGTGCACGCGAATGTGCTCCCCGTCATCGCGCGTGCAGATTCGCTCATGGATGCGAAGCTCGCTGCGGTCAAGAAGGTCGTCCGGCGCGACTTGGCCGCGGACCTTGACTTTGGTGTGTTCGGGCCCGTCGTTGCCGACGATGCCGCGAAGAGCCCGGCCGACGAGCGTGCCAACGGGAATTGGAACGGGCATGGGCACACGCACGGCACCAGCCACGGTAGCCAGCGCAGCGCCGACGACGCAGCTCAAGCCCACAGCGATAGCAGCCGGCCTGCTGGCGGTACCCCCGAGCCGAGCCAGGAGAACGAGAAGTCTCAGAAGGAGGACACCAATGATGCGGACCAGCAGCAACAGCAGCAACAACAACAACAACAAGAGAACGACAACGGCGAATGGCCCATCATCAAGCTGCAGCCGATGTGGCTTGCACGGCGGCCCTC